CTTTCCCTTTCTCAAGCAACTTTTATGCTTTTACAATATCACTGTGGGCAGCTGGGAGTTCCCTCACTGATGCTAATGAGACACCTGTCCTGGGGTGAGAAGAAAGACAGAAAGGGGTCAGGACTATACCTTCATTCTCGATGCCAAGCTCACGATGGTAAGATGTTTCAGCTTGTTCTGCTGAGCTGTGCTTAGTTCTGGCAGGCTCTCCTTGTTAGCTGCTCAGTCCCACCCACCACAAAAATCAAGACACAAAATAAAATTAGAATTTCTTTTATGGAATAAGCTCACCATCTCTCTAAACCAAATCTACTGCTGAGTCACTGTCATGACTACGCACTTACTCACTGGACAAAAATTCCATGAGCACCTCCTGTCCTCTTTGGAAGACTATGTGCTTTCAAAGAAGACAAGACTCAGTCTCTACACACAGAGTTTAGTCTCCTGAAAAGCCAAGCAGGAACAAACAAAACACTATGACAGTTATATTGATGGAGTACTACTGTATTTGTGGTTCCTGAGACATTCAGTTAAGTTCAGCACATCTTCACTGAACATGTGCTAGGCGCAATGCGCTGTCTAAAGGGAACTGAGGATGAGTGAGACCGGCCTTGTCAGGCTGCCATGCTGCACAACTCCAGGAGGCACTAACTGCCTGGAACTGTGCAACTCTATGGCCCTGGACTTGTCTTCAGTCTTACAATCAGATGTTTCGATAACAAACAAATGTGAGTCAGTACTAGCAGAAGAAAGGTACAAACTGGGGGCCAGCAATTGGCATAATGGCTATGTCGCTGGACTCCCACGTAGGCAACCGCGGTTCGAGTCCCAGACCCGGTGGCTTAAACTCACACCAGGCGTATGTGCATGCGTGCCCAAGATCCCGAGAGGAGAATGGAGGAGAAGGGATTGTGGCGTGGTCATCCCCCCGGGGGGTGATTTCTCGCTTTCTGTCTCTCTGTCTCTCTGTCTGTCTGGCGAGTACACGTGCCCTATAGCAAAAACCTCTCCAAAAAAAAAAGAAAGGTACAAACTACCAGGAAAGGGCAAAGAGGGAGAGACAGAGAGAAAAGAAAAGGGAGAGAAAAAAGGAAAGGGAAGAGAAAAAAAAGAGCAAGTGATTACAGTTTTATGTGGGAGACACAAGAGATTAAAAAAAGAAAGGCTTCATTGGAGAGGTAGAATTTGAGATGAGCCTTGAGGGATGAGCAAAATTTTAGTGATAACATTAATGAAAACAGCAAGGCAGGGGCTGCAGGTAACCGATACATTACACCCTTCATGTGGTGTGGATCTCTCCCCCCCACTCACTCACACACATATCCAGCTAATGCTTACAATCCCACCTCACACACATCCAGTTAACTCTTACAACTCCACAACACACACACACACATCCAGCTAATTCTTACAACAATCCCACAACACACACACACACATACATACACATATCCAGTAATCCACACAACAACGCCACAAGACAGATTCCCAATGTCCACAATCTCTTAACAAGAATTCTCAATTCCAAAAATGTGAATCTAAAGTGATTTTTTTTTTTCCTTAAGCATGTACTGAAATTCACCAGTTCCTGACCGGAACTGAGACAGGCTTTTTGTCCCATTTGTTATGAATATTCATCTGTTTTGTTGCAAAATTATAAATGCATGTGATGATGAAGCTGCCCACATCCCTCTGGGGATGTTACATAAAAAAGAGATATGCAACACATTACCTTTTTGAAGTCCCCAAAGTTCTCACTTCTGAAACATCCAACCTCAAGGAGTATAGGTACAGGATTATGGACTTGTATTATTACTTCCATTTTACAGACAGAGAAACTGAGGCATATATTTAATTTGCCAAATGATACAACCAGTACAAGTGGAGCTATAGGGGCCGGCAGATAGCGTGGTGGTTAAGGGTGCTGGACTCCCATGTGGTTGACTGCGGTTCAAGTCCCAGACCTGGCAGCTTGCTTTCTCGCTTTCTCACTTACTTTCTCTCTCTCTCTTATTCTGTCCTTCTCTGATCAAATTAAAATAAATTTAAAAAGTGAAATAAAAATAATTCTTTTAAGAAGTGGAGCTAGAATATAAATGCAGGCAGTCTAGTTCTAGAGTCTATGTAATGCTTCCTCTTCAGTAAGTGAGGACAGAAACAGAGGACACACACTCATTGGACAAAGTGAAGGTAAAAAAAAAAAAAAAGAAAAAATGCTGTGTTAGGCTGGCCCAGAAGTGAAGTGGTTAAGCCCTATGCATAGGCAGCTGGATCCCACATGGCTGACTGAAGTTCAAATCCCGGCCCCTGCAGCCTTGGGGGAAAAACACGCAGGCGTATGTTCATGCCCCAAATCCTGAAAGGATGGAGAAATAGAGGAAAACCTATTGCTGCCCATGTACTGTTAGGGTGAATCTCTTCTCTTCTCTCTCTCTCTCTCTCTCTCTCTCTCTGGCATGCTCACTTACTCTCTGGTAATTAAAAAAAAAAGAAAAGGTGATGTACCACAAAGTGACAAGCTATCCAGTCTGACAGCAGCACAGACTAAGTAGAAGTGTCCAGAGAAAAACAAGGAAAAGTCAGTAACATAGCAGAGAAGGTCCTGTGTATCAGGCTACTGTTTTATCACCAGAAACCCCTAGGGAAGCCAGAAAAAAGTAGCTGGGGCAGAACAAGTCAACATTTAGATGTTCAAGTACCACATTCCTAATAGTTAAGATTCTAATTTAAAATGACCCAAATGCCAACAGAGAATGGGCTAAGATTATACAATATCAGGGACCAGCAGGTGGCACGGTGTTTAAGACGCTGGACAGTCCCACATGGCCAACCATGGTTTGAGTTCAGGACCTGGTGGCTTGCTTTCTTACTTTCTCTCTCTCTCTCTCTGTCTCACTCTGATCAAATTAAAAAAATAAATGAATGAATAAATAACATTGAATAAAGTAACTTAAAAAAAGAAGAACTTACTCAACCCATTTTAGAAAAAAAAATTATACAATATCAGATTATGGAATGTTAAAATTATCAATAATAAAAAACTTATAATATAGATAAATGCCTACGAGATAAGTGGGGAAACAGCAAGATAAATTGCATATGTAATATAAACGCACCCATGTAACAGAAAATATGAACATAAGTGGAGACGTCTATCACAAAATGCCAAGAAGTAGTTTAGAAAAGGTACAACTATGAGTGACTTTTTCATTTTTCAATTTTGTCCAATACGGTTATATTATTTATAATAATTAAAATGCTAAAATATTTTATAGGTGAATATTATGATAGTTTCATTGCACTCCAACTGCCCTACAAACACGTCCTCAAAAATCTCATCTGGAAAATGAACAAGGGCTCTATCTATAGATGGGCACACGTGCAGTTCCCATTTTACCTACTGAGTAATAAAAGGTAAGAAGGGAATTTCCTTTTGTGAAGTCACCTACAGAGCACAGTACAGTGGGAGACAGAGGTTAGGAAGCCCTCCCACCCCATGCTTTACATCTCAAACCTTGTAATCCTCCAAACTGAGTGACAAAATCAAACCAAGTCTTTTGAAGGATCTTAACCAACTCACCTATGTAATCTGGGTATGTTCCATAGGCAAACAGGTTCAACAACTGCAAGTAAGCAGCATTAGATCCTTCTGCAAGCTGAGGGGAAAAACAGTTCACAGATCAGCTGTTTTCTAGTCACTGCAGTGTTCAAACAGAGGACAGGTGAGCAAGTGCCAAAGGTGCCACAGCCATTTACTGTGCAATGCTTGATTAGTTGGCCCCTTCTAAATGATTCTTTGGGAAAAGTATATTATTTTTATTAAATAAAATTATCAAATAATTACATTATCAAAGCCCCAAATCAGACTTTTCTTCCTCTAAGTAGCTACTCTTGTCACATACACACATACTGCATCAAGTAATCGAGTTTTCTTAGGATCCTTTTGCATGAAAACAGAGCGGAGGTGGGGGGGGAGGGGTAACAGGTGGCATAGTGGTTAAAGTGCTGGACTCTCACATAGCCAACCACAATTCAAGTCCCGGACCTGGCAGCTTGAAACTCACAACTCACACCAGGCGTGTGTGCATGCATGCCCCAAATCCTGAGAATAGAGGAAAAGGAATTGTGGTATGGCTAACCCCGCTGGGGGGGGATTTCTCACTTTCTCTCTGTATTTCTCTCTCTCCAGCAAGCACACACACTCTCTCGAAAAAAAAAAGAAAAAATTAATAAATTCATTTTTTTTAAAAGAGCCTCAAGCAGCCCCGTCTACACACAGGCTTGGTAGGTACAGCAGAGATACTATTAGCCCAGACTGAACAAAGCTTAGGCTGGTTCCAAGTTTCAGGACTGCATGTGGACTCTGAACCCTGTGAGAGACTGGCATAGTGTAAGGCGTGACTGAAAACCAGGCAGGAAACCAGGATACCAGGTTGTCCCAAATAAAACTTTCTGTTAGAATTACTTACTCTTCACTGATTTTGATGGCAAAGTGCCACCTATAAAGAGTAACGCAAGAACCACTGTTCTGCTCTGCTGTCCATTACCCTAATCGGGTGCTTCTATGACCCACAAACATGGTCCTGTTACTCTTCAACTCACCTAACTCAGTAAATTGAAATGGAAATAATAAATGTTATTCTGTAGACACCAACAGCAACACTATTCAATTTTAACCACTTTTAAACAATGATTTCAAGAACAGCATTTATAATTCTGGACTACTGAAAATCAACTAGCTTACTCCCAGCTCACAAAGGGGAAGACAAAAACTACGGGGAGATAAAGCTGACTTGCTAAACACTCCAGTCCCTTAGTCTGCCTTCCCAGTTTATCACAAACCTGACGTTCCTGAATTAAAATGTGGAAGTGTGGAAGAGACTACCAAATCTAGCCCCAGCTTTCAAACAGACAATTAAAAACCTAGCTGGAACAGATTATCTTCTCTAGGACAGATATTCCCAAACTTCTTCCACTGGCCTAAATCAATAAAGTCTTCCCAGCGTTAATTTTCATCTATCTCCACCTGGCTAACCTTCCACAGTGACAAAACAACTACTGCATATTCATTCAGGCTTTTCATGAAGGAACATATTATCCCTGAGCCTTCTCTTCAGGTGGAAAATAACTCCAGTTCTCTCGAATCTTCCTCACAGGAGTCATTTTCCATCTCTGGTATACTAAGTTTTCCTGAAAGCCTCCTGTGTGTCAGGACGGGAATTCAGCTAGAAAGAAACAATGTTGAGCACAATAGAACTTACCCTCACAGAGCTGACAGTTAAGTTAGCAAGAAGGACATCAAACAAAAATTGGTATTTAAAAATAAAAGTGGCTCTCTCCATCTCTGGCCACCACAGGGAGAGGAGTCATGTGTGGGCATCTGCAATGGATGCTCATGGAAAACTGTTCCAGCTTTCTGATGGAGAGGAATAAGCAGACCTACCTACAGCACTGAATCCAGTAACTTGAGGGTCCACAACCCCTCCTGTTACAACTGGCTGATTCACGCAACTCCTGTTACAACTGAATGGAGGTGCGAGGCACAGGTGCTGCATTCATGAAGGCAATGAAGTGAACATGAAAGGCAGCCACCTGCTACATGTGGACCACCATTTCAAGAACACAAGGCCACTCTTGGCGGCATCAACACATTGTAAGAAGCAGCACCACTCCGATCTGTGCACAGTGGCCATCCAGAATCAGTGCCACCCTGCATAACCAGAAGCCTGTGATGGTGAAGAGGAAGCAGACCCACCCCATCAGCCCACCAAGAGCTCCTGAGCACCTTCCACAAGCAATAAAGATATTCTCACACTTTTTAAAAAATGAGAATAAAAATAACAGTGTCCTAAGAGAGAAGCAGAGGTTGAAAAGTATAGGCTGCTTTAGATCTCTCTATACTGTCTGGTCATTTTTCTTCTTCTTTTTTCTTTTTTTTTTTTAGTTTTGCTACAGGGCACAAGTGCTCACTGAAGAGAGACAGAGAGAGAAAAGGGAAAATGAGAAGGTACCTTCTAGGAGGGAATTCCACATTGCAGTCCTTTCTCCTCCATTCTCTTCTCAAAATTTTGGGCGCGCGCGCACACACACACACACACACACACACGTGCCTACTGTTTGTTTTTTTTTTTTAAGTGCCTGGATCTGGCCCTTGAACTGCACAGTTGGTGGCGGGATCCAGGTGCCTTAACCACCATGCCACCAGCTGGCCCACCCTTGAGGTTTTAACAATCTAACAAGCAAACAAAGCAAAATGGACTGCTTCTCAGCTTTTTACGACTTATCTTCTTAATGAATCTACTTTACCATAACACTCCCCTCTCCCACAGGAGCAACAGACTCCTAATCATGCCCACCTCATGTACAATACTAATAATTTTCTGTGTAAGTCCCTAACCAATCTGCCTTATCTATACTGCACTGGAGGTTTTTGTCCCTAAAAATGTCTGAAACTACCCCTGTTAAACATCAGTCCATGCTTATAGCACTAGTTTTCTAATTTATCAGGACCAATTTGACGTTATTACTATCTTCAGATTATTAACAACCCCACTGAATTTTACTGAAGCTCAAACGAGACTATTGATTGAAAGAAGCCCCACATATTGTCCTCAATCTCCTCCCCCTCCCCAGTTCCCATCTCTATCTCAACAGGGCATCTCATGTGTCCTCATTTCTGCCCTAAAATGCCTTAAAAACCTGGAGAATCACAAAATGGCTTAGGACAAAGAAGATAAATTGTATAGAAACCACTCTTACCTCCTGTACATTGGCCAGCTCCAACAATTCTCCGAAGACATACACTCCAGGCGCCTCCAAGACCTGGCCTATGAGAGTAGTGAGGGCTGAGCCACTGGTACCTTTGGCTAGTAAAATAAACTGTTCCAGGAGGTTACTTGAGGGTTTCTGTTCACCTGCCATTCTCTGGTCTTGAGATCTGTCCAAAAGAAAAAGATGTCAAGCATTCTTCCTGCTCCTTTGCAAAGTTTCTTCTTACTTAATGCTGGATCAGATGCCAGAATACTTCAGTTTTATAGTGTTTATAAGGAAAAAAACAACTTTTGAGTCCAGATGCAATGACCACTTTGTGAGATACGTAGAGTTCAACATGCAGTTAAAGGGATCTTTTCCTCAGATCCAAATGAAACTAACCATGTAAAAGTCACTTCATCTTCATCTGCCCCTCTTCCAGAGGCAACACTTTTTAATTCCTTTAACCCAACCAGGATCTAAATAGACAGAGTTTCTTTGTAGCTGTTCTGTTGTGTTCTTTATATTCCCTTTTCCCTCTCCTTTCCAGTTAACAACTGGCATCGGCTTCCTTTTCAGGGAAGAAACTGTGTAAGGCAAAATATCATTTACCTGCTAATATACCATTTAGTTGTGAAATAATGTGTACTAGGAAAGAGATGGCAAAATAACATAAAAGGTAAATTACTCAGAATAAGGAAATACGATTTACCCCAATCTCCACTTTTAGAAAAGGTGGGAAGAGGGACCAGCAGTTAGCGTAATGGCTATATCGCTGGACTCCCACATAGTCGACAGCAGTTTGAGTCCCAGACCCAGTGGCTTAAACTCACGCCAGGCGCGTGTGCGTGCATGCCCAAGATCCCAAGAGAAGAATGTAGGAGAGGGGACTGCGATGTGGCCATCTCCCCCTGGGGGTGAGGGGGGTGATGTCTCGCTTTCTGTCTCTCTCTCTGTCTTTCTGGTGAGTGCACACGCCCTATAGCAAAAACCTCTCCAAAAAAAAAGAAAGAAAGTAAAAAGAAAAGGTGGGGAAGAGAGAAGGACCTTACAGAATGGAGATGGGCTTTTGTGGTTACAAATTAAAGATGGGGGAGCTAGATGAAATGGCTATGCTCTTTTATACCCACATCATTTATAGACTTTACTTAAACCAAAGATATTATTGTCCATACACTCAGGCATCAGATGTGAGCAAAAGCAATCATCTACACTGGGCCTGAGAATCCCATCCACGCAAGAGAAGGAAGACACAAAAAGCAGACAAGAAACCTGTCTCTGGGGAAAAGCCCTCTACTTGCTCTCTTAATATGTGACATTTTACCAAACATGACTTCAGAACTTGTACAAAACTTCAAGAAAACAACAAAAAGATTTTTTTAAAGAATTATTTTATTTGACTTTATTCATTTATTTTTAATTTGACCAGAGAGAGAGACAGAGAGAAAGAGAGAGAGAGAGGAAAGTGAGAAAGCAAGTCACCAGGTCCGGGACTAGAATCATGGCCAGCCATGTGGGAGTGTCCAGCGCCTTAACCACCTGCCACCTGCCAGTCTCCAACAACAAAAATATTTGAGAAAACAATCAGGATATTGTATTGCCATCCCCAAGACATTGGATACAAAGGGTCCCTCAACTGTGCTACCTAATTACATGCAGAGTGTATGCAGACACCCTTCATACCTTTCTATAAGAGTCCCACGTGATAGATATTCAGTCACTGTGACAAAATGAAGGAAAAGAAGTACAGTAGAGTGAAGCAGAAAACAATTCAAAGGACAGTTTGACTCAAGAGAAGCTAAGTTTCCCTGGAGGCAGGCACACAGAGCAGCTGCCCTCTCTTGGGGACAGAGAAACAAGCATATAGCTTCACATAGGGTTACCTGTCAGAACAGAAAAAGTGAAATGCTAAGGAACAAAGCACTGGAGACAAGGGAAGGGAAGAGGTGGGGAGGGAGAGAAGACCAGAGGGGGAAGGGTAAAGAGGGAGAGAAGATGAGAAGGAGGGGGGAGGGAAGGGTTAGGAGGGGGCA